TGGTAAGGGAGGGGGTGGGGGCAGTGGGGAGAAATGAACCAATCCTTGTATGCACATATGAATAATAAAAGAAAAATGAAAAAAAAAAAGAAAAAAAGAAATACCAGCCCATGGTAGGAAGAAAGCTGGAGTAGACTGAGGGGTCAGTTGCACAGAATCAGTAGGACTGAGGGTAGAGTGGCAGGGGCTGAGAAGAGCAGTGGGCAGAGGAGCCTGTATGTGCAGTCACGGCCTGGCACCAGTGGGAACGAGCCTGGGGCTGGAGGCTACAGGGGTGTGAGGATGCTGTGGGTGTCACAAGTTTAAGGATGATCCCTGGGATGGCTCTTTTTCAAAAGATTTTGGTCTCAGGCCTTTGGTTTATTGAGTCAGTGAGATGTTGTTCAGGTCACAGCCGATGGCAGCCAGCTCCACCCAGGTGCCTCAGTACTTGCTGGCAGCTTCTAGTGGGCTGGGTGTGCTATACCTAGTTACCAAAGTGGCTGAGGTCTCTGTCCTCAGATCCCTCACTAAGACACAGCATCATAAACCAAAATTCACAAAAGCTCAGATGGTTGTTTCAGGTTGTTCCAGAAGTATTATGTTGGTCAGCAATAACCTGTGGTATGGTATCGTAAGTGGCCTTCCCTTTGTCTATCCCATGCTCTGTGGATCCCTGACTACATCTCACGCATGGAGACAGTGCCCTTGTCCCTCAGCTGGGCCCAACTCCCTCTGGCCTACCTGCCTCTCTATGCCTCTAGTTAACACTCTCCCTCAATGGCAGTCTCCAGAGCACTGCTTTCATCAGGTTGCCCTTCCACCTCAGGGACAGTTGGGCTTTTCCTTGTCACCTTGTTAAAGTTCAGACAGCTGAGCCAGGCTTCACCCTAGCCTGTCTTTCATTTCCCTGCAATTTCCATTACCTGCCAGCGCTCTTTTGTGCCATTCAGGCCTTCTTGCTCTGTGTGCCTTGCTCCTCAGGCACCCTCCTTGCCCTTCTTTGCCCACCTTTCTCCATCCTTGTGGCCACCTGGCCACGACTGACCCAGCACGCATTTTAGGATGCTCCATGATGTTTCTGTCCCTGAGAGTTGTATGTGCGAACGCTCTTGTCTGCAGTTTTCTGCTCTTGATGGTGAATGACTCCAGTGATTTTGGGTCAGCATGGAAGTGTTCCCTGGGGGCTAGTGGCAAACAGCCCTGCTTGTGGGGAGTAAGCTGTATTGTAAGCTCTGTAAGGGTAGATGGTAAGTTCTAGTGAGAAAAATGTGAGTCATTTTGCCACCCTGTTCATTCATGAAACCCTAGGCAGGCACCACACCTTCATGAACTTAGAATGATGTGTCCCACTGTTCAGTGCTGGTGTTTCTGTTAGAACTTCATCTCTCTGTGTGTATACCTGTGTGAGTGAATTGTGGGCAGACATCTTGATGCTGCAGTGAGAAGGTTGCTACCCTCTTTCACACAAGGCAGTTGAAACCCAGAAGTGAAAAGTGCTTCCAAAGTCATACAGTTGGAGAGCTGCAGCTGAAACTAGGTTTCTCAGTCTTCAAGACTCATTACCCCACTGCATATGACAAAACCTTCATCACTGAGATAGCTCCATGCCTCTGGGTCCTTGGAGTCTGTTGCGCAGTCAGCAGCTGTGTTATGTAAAGGGCCAGATAGTAAGTGGTTCTGGCCTGACAGACCAGATGTCTATGTTACAGACACTTAGCTCTGAGGTAGTTGGATACGTGCAGCCAGAGAAGACAGAAATGTAATAGGTGACTTTACTCCAAGAAACTTGATTTAGAAAAATAAGCCATATGGCCTGTGGGGGCCATAGTTTGCTGATAGCCTGATTCCATAGTGCTTTTCCCATAGCAGGTACTCAGTGAGCCATTTCCAAGTATGAACCCATGTTTATCCCTCCTGCACTTAGCTGACCTTTCTGCTATGCCCAATTTCTTCTGCAGTATGTGGGTGCCCCGGTGGCTTACATCCAGCAGATATTTGTGAAGTCCTCAGTGTCTCCCTGGCATAAGAACCTCCTGGCCGTAGATGTGTTCCGCTCGCCTCTGTCCCGGGCATTCCAGCTGGTGGAGGAGATCCGGAACCATGTGCTGAGAGACAGGTACCCTCTTGGGAGCCCTGACGTCCCCTGAACCTCGTTCTGTGCTGCAGGGAGCTTTATCCCTGATGTAACTATGGTGAGCTACCCATCTCCGGAGAAATAGACAAGCAAGAAGGATGGAGGAGGACCCAGCTTTGAATGTCTCAGTATCATTTGGGTCCATTGTGGCTGCATTCCACCTGGACCTATGCACATAGCACAGGTAGAGGACTGAGCCTTGTCTTTACATCTCAGAGTGAATGTCCCTGGGCCTGACTCTGAGACAAGCTGGCTGAGAACAGGCTGACACATGACTCATGTAGCTTCCTGCTTCTGGGTTATGAGGTGTGGCTATGCTGAGAAGCCAGCTCTACCTGGAGCCCCGGCCCAGGTCTCCCCAGCCATCAGTGGTTCTCTGCAGCATGCTGGCTTGGCAGGCTGCATCACCACAAGGTTTTAGTCAGCTAATGACTTGGACAAAGATTTTGGTGAACTAAATGAAGCCCTGAATTTTCCCCGTCTTGCCATGTCCACTAAGTTGGCTAAGGTGTTCCAGTGGGAGAGCTTTGTGTGCTCTCCCACACTTCCCTTTCCTAGGAGGTAACCAGCTTTGAGGGTCCAGGTATACTTTGAAGGCTGCACAGCCACATGTTTTAGTTTTTGAGTAATCAAAAACTGATGTTGCCCTAAGCATCAGACTCTTGGAGATACCCGGGAGCAATCGTGGATCATTTAGGAGCTTGCTGGCAGTGGGCCCATCCTGTGCTGGCAGACAAAATAGAGGCCTCCTCCTGTCTCTTGCATAGCTCTGGGACCAGGAGCCTGGAGGAGGTATGCCTGCAGGTGACCGACCTGCTACCAGGCCTCAAGAAACTCCGGAACCTACTCCCCGAGCATGGCTGCCTGCTGCTGTCCCCTGGAAACTTCTGGCAAAATGACCGGGAACGCTTCCATGCAGACCCTGACATCATTGGGACCATCCACCAGCATGAGCCCAAAACTCTGCAGACTTCAGCCACACTCAAAGGTACCCCCAGCACAAGCTCCGTGGGGACCTGAGAGGGGTCCTGTCATTTCCCATCTCTCCTTTGGTGAGTGCTGTGGCAGGCCAAGGATTACCCGTTTCCATGGGGATGGTGGGGAAGGGATCCCACATGGCCTGTAGTGGCTGTCCTTCCTCTGTCAGTACCTCCTTGTCTCTGCCTACAGACTTGCTGTTTGGTGTTCCTGGGAAGTACAGTGGGGTGAGCCTCTACACGAGGAAGAGGATGGTCTCATACACCATCACCCTGGTCTTCCAGCGCTACCATGCCAAGTAAGGCAACTGGGCTTGGGGCTCTCTGCTGGTCTGTGAGTGACATGAGACTTCAGTGGTTCCTTCTCTGGTTACAGTGTACCCTGAGGACTGTTTCTAGGCCTCCTGTTGAAATGTTTAAAGGATGCTGTTACATTTGAATAGGGATGGCCTGACAGTTGGCTAAGAACAAAGGACTGAGGTGGGGCTGACAATTTCAGTGTTCTGGTGTCTCCTCTGGTTTCTCAGATGATTATGAGCCCCTGGGACAACTCTGCCAGCTTTGTTATCCTTCCAGTGGAGACTATAGAGAAGCTGAAGTTCCTTCTAGAAGTTTCCTCTCAGCATGAAGGAGGAATGGGCCCTGATGGACCCTTTCAGCGATTTTCTTTGCCCCTAGGTTCCTGGGCAGCCTTCGTGCCCGCCTCATGCTCCTGCATCCCAGCCCCAACTGCAGCATTCGGGCAGAGAACCTGGTCCATGTACACTTCAAGGAAGAAATTGGTGTTGCGGAGCTCATCCCCTTGGTGACCACCTACATCATCCTGTTTGCCTACATCTACTTCTCCACACGTAGGTCCTGGCAGGGAGGTCACAGGTGTTCTCTAGGACAAACAGGCATTTCCACATTGTCCAAGTCTGAATGTCCTCCCCTAGTTACAGTCTTAGGGGCTTGGGTGGGCCTGGGGCTCCTCTTCTTAAAGAAAGACCCTTCCTAAGAGTAGGGTACCCAAAGGTGCCATGTCTATGAGATTGGGAAGTTTCTGTGGTTGTCCCTTTCCTTGTTAAACCAAGGAGCTTTTTCTTCATTGATTGTCAGGATACACTTTATTCCCCAGAGCTCAGTTAAGGGCCCGTGACACGGGTCAGAGGTTGTGGGAGGTGCTGCCCTGATGTTCCTTCTCTGCCTTCCAGGCAAGATCGACATGGTCAAGTCCAAGTGGGGACTGGCCCTGGCTGCTGTGGTCACAGTGCTCAGCTCACTACTCATGTCTGTGGGACTCTGTACTCTCTTTGGCCTTACACCTACACTCAATGGCGGGTAGGTTTCCAGCAGGCTCCACTGGACCACAGGGTGGGCCCTCAGGCCAGAGAATCTTGCCCATCTGGTTATTTGCTCTTCCCCGGACTGGATGCTTATTATCCATATCTCCACCTTGTTAGTTTTGACATTTAAGAGTTACACTTTCTTCTTCTGTATCTGGTTTGTATTCATGTGTGTGTATAGCATATCTGTATATACAAGTTAAATATATAATATATATAGGTATGCATATAAGTATATACTTGTATATTTGTGTGCAAATGTGCTTGTGTGTATATGTTTTTATATTTTATAACCACATGTGCACTGCTTCTTAAAGGCTTATGCTACAGGTGTGATACAGAGACGGGAACATTTCTTAGCGCCTATGTTGGCTCATCAGGCTGTTCGTAGGAAAAGCCACTCCCTTCCTGGGAGTGGAGAGGGCCTTGCACATGTTAGGCAAGCACTCTATAGAAAAGTGACTTTGTTCTTTCTGTTTCTTTGTGGTGAAGCACCTGCTACCTTTCCTGGGCGCACCCCTGCCCCCATGTGTGCATGCCAGCTCCTCCTCAGAGCCCTCACTTCCATGGGCTTAGTAGCGTTCCTGAGTCTGTCTGGAGTAGCCCGAGATAGGTTTATCTGGCTGGCAGAGTACGCTTCAGGAGCAGTTGCTCTTCTTAGGCACAGCTTCTCAGCAAAGGTTTAGTGCTTTCGGTTGGTTCACCCCTCCCATTTAGTTCTGATGGCTTGGGTTGGAGTCACCTGGATAGGGTCTTGGCAGTGGTCATTCCATCAGCCAGTGGAGTCTGATGTGGTCTGGGGGTGGGGCAGCACAGCTCTCCCAAGGACCTCTTCTGGGCCTGTCCTGTGCTGGATGGGGGAGATGGGAATGGTTGCTGGCCCCTTGGAAGACTTTGGAGCCTGCTTAAAAGCTGACAACTGTGCAGACAGAGATCCCTGTTGTGTGAAGGTAGGACAGGGAGTGTTTCTGCCCAGTGTGAGAGCCACTTGGTAGCTTCCCCCATGGCCCAAGCCCAGTGAGAACCAGCCCTGTAATGGAATCTTGCCACAACATTGTCCCTTACTATCTCCTCCTTTGTCCCCAGCGAAATTTTCCCATACCTGGTGGTGGTTATTGGGTTAGAGAATGTGCTGGTGCTCACCAAGTCAGTGGTCTCAACCCCAGTGGACCTTGAGGTGAAGCTGCGAATTGCCCAAGGTAACATGGGGTGGGGTGGCTGTTCCATGTGCTTTTGTGCCCGAGGATGCAGGGAGCCCTCAAAAATGTGCCTCACAGCTCGCTGCCTGTGGCTCACACCTGTAATACTAGCTACTTTGAGAGGCTGAGGTGGGGAGGATCAAAGTTTGAGGCCATTCCAGGTAGGGATTTTGTGAGACTCCATCTCAACCAGTTAACTGGGCACACTGGTATGTCTGTTATCCTAAGCTGTGCCAGAGGCTGAGATTGGGACGTATTCCAGTCCAGCCCAGTCTAAAACAGTTTGCGAAACCTCATCTCAATGGAAAAAAGCTGGGTATGGTGGCACATACCTGTCCTCCCAGTGACAATGGGAAGCTTAAAATAGGATCCTAGTCCAGGCTGGCCTAGGCAAAAAGTGAATCCTTATCTCCAAAATAACCAGACCAAAAGAGCTAGAGGCTCAAGAAGTAGAGCATCTGCCTGGCAAGTACAAAGCCCTGAGTTCAAGCCCCAGTACTGCCAAAAAAAACCCCACTTGCCTCACTCCAGCCTCCAGTGTAATATGCTTGTAGGAATGTGTCCTGAAGAACCATGGGGTGGCTAGACTATACTTTATTTTGGTTTACATGACAGTAAAAAAACAAACCAACTGCAATCTGACTCATGTTTGGTATTGGCATTCTGTCTGGGCCAGGCCTAGTGTTTTCTCTTCCTGCCTCGCTCCACCATGCTTAGACTCAGGTGCCTGTGTTGTCTCTTCAGAGGTGCTGCCTCTGCCAGAAAACCCCACCAGTGGGAGTTGGGGCTCTGAGGAAAAAGAAAGATTAAGAGGCTCTCCCTAGAGTTTGAGGTTTTCCTCTTGAGCCCATGTCTGAGGACTGGCTGGAGGCAGACTGTTCATTCATTCTACCAACCTCTGTGAGCTTCTGTAATAGGGGGTTATGAAGAGATAAGGTGAAATAGTCCCTACACACTGGGAGCACAGAGCCTTATCCATATGGCAGTGTGATAGCATAGGGCCCAGGGGCTTGCCATGCGGACAGCTGGAGGAAGATCCAACTAGTTCCTTCATTCTTCCAGCCATGCTGCCGCTTGGCTAGTGGGTAGTCTCAGGCTGGACTGTGCAGCCCAGACAGGAATAGCAGGTGGTTTGGATGTGGTTAGAGTGGGTGGCACTGGGCTGTCTTCTCGGCGTTTCTCATCTCAGCATCCTGCTTTTTCTCTTCTTTTGATGACTATAGCTCTCTCCTGTTCCAAGAGTGCCCCCATTCTCTGTAGCAACTGTGTGTTGCTGGTGACCCCTTAGAGTCTGAGCAGTCAGAGTCCCGAGGACTGGGGCGTTGTGTGCAATGGCTGTCTCAGAGGGCTAGGCCCCTCCTTATGCCTTTACTCTTCTGAGGATTATGAGGTTGAGTATACACATGTGGCATAGGGGAGGGGCCCTCGCTGCCCCTGTGCTCTGCTGTTGCCCCCTGCAGGCCTAAGCAGTGAGAGCTGGTCCATCATGAAGAACATGGCGACTGAGCTGGGCATCATACTTATTGGCTACTTCACCCTTGTGCCTGCCATCCAGGTAAAGCCCCAAGGCCTCTTGCCTATTTGAACAGGGAACCAATTACTGGGCTCCCTAGCTATGCAACCACAAGCAAGATACACCCCTCTTTTAGGGTAGGTACCCTGGACTATGAGACGGAACCTCTGCCTGGCAAGTAGGTCACTACAGTATACAGAGTGCTCCTGGCTGGGTTACAGGATTGAGTGCATCACTAGGCAGGCCCTGCCCTTGACCCTCTCCTCTCTGCCTGTATGCCTTCCCATTCAGCCTAGTGGGAGGAGGAGGCTCTGTGGGCACAGTGGAGGCTGGGGGCTGGCTTCCAGTTTCTCAGGCAGAAATACTGCAGGGCCCTTGAATTGTCCCTGCCTATGTGAGGACCACCATTCATAGCAGCCTTGCTTAGCCATGGGGCTGGAGTAGAAGTGGAGGTGACAGGCCTGCTGAGTTGTTGTCTGAGACTATTGTTGACCATCCAAGGAGGAGCTGCAGGAAGGGATGATACTTTCATCTCCCTCTCCCGGGGATGGCAGGCCTTCTGAGGAGTGGGATGAACAGAGAGCGAAAGGGCTCCAGGTTTTTCCTCCTCAGGAAAAAAAAATGTTGTCTGCAGGACACTGTACAGTCTTGGGATTTTAGAGCTGGGTGACTACTGTGCCACTGAATGCCACTTCCTATTGTCTTAACCGATATGAATAGAATCCACGCTGCTGTGCAAGAGGTCTAAAAGAAGGGCAGGGGAAGAAAGCTGAAATCTTAGAAAGTTCAATCTCTTGATAGGTCTAGGGATGAGAGAGCATTGTTGTTTAAGTCTTAGGGCAGAATGCATCCTCTCTGCATTCGCTCTCTCCTTTCCATTGGTTCAGTATGGTAGCAGGGCTCAGGGGTGAGGCTCTTTAGGGAGCAATCTGGTGGGGCTTAGAGGTTTCCAAGTTGGATCAGGGCTCACACCTCTCTAGAGGAACCAGAAATTCAGTGAGGGCACCTGCCTTAGTCCTCTCTGGAGGGGGGATGGTCATGGTGGTAGTGGTGTGTCCATCCTGTGCTGCCCCCTGGTGGGGACAAAGCAAGGTGCTAGCCTGACCCTCCTAGGCTGCTCCCAGGTTAGGAGGCTCAGTACCAGCATCTTTTTTTTTGTCCCTGCTGCGTCTTACCTGCACTTGCCCTTGCTCTCAGATTCGGGGGTGCTCGCAGCCATGTGCTCATAGTGCCCCTCATGTGCACTCATTCCAGGAGTTCTGTCTCTTTGCCGTTGTGGGCCTGGTGTCTGACTTCTTCCTCCAGATGCTGTTTTTCACCACTGTCCTGTCTATTGACATCCGCCGTATGGAGGTAGGAGTGGCTGAGCCTCTGGGCGATGGACAGGTGCAACCTGGGCATGGGTAGCGCTCCTTCGCAGGTATTCTCTTGATGGCAGACATGGGGCTTGACCACTGTGTCCCAACAGCTAGCAGACTTGAACAAGCGGCTGCCCCCTGAGGCCTGCCTGCCCCCAGCCAAGCCTGTGGGGCGGTCAGTGCGCTATGAGAGGCAGCTGGCTGTACGACCATCCACACCCCATACCATCACGCTGCAACCATCTTCTTTCCGAAACCTGCGGCTCCCCAAGAGGCTGCGTGTCATCTACTTCCTGGCCCGCACCCGCCTGGCACAGCGCCTCATCATGGTACTTGCCACCCCTGCTCCACCCTGCTCTCTAGAGGGTCAGGACTCACATTCCCTCGGGGTCCCCCTGTGCCTTTGGAATGGGGGATGCTCCTCAGGGGGTACCCATCGTGCCCTCCCTGCCCAGACCTGGGTGGTTTCTGAGGAGATAAGTCTGTCTGTGGGTCATCAGGTAGAAGATTCATCTCTGCTGAGTGACAGGGGCCTACTAGACTTGGTGCTCTGGGATACAGCCACTTGTGTGGCCACCATATTTTCCTGGGTTTGGTTCAGTGGCTGCTGTATAGCATGCAAGCAGCAGAAAATGGTGGCCAAAATAAATCGCCAGCAGCAGCACCTCTCCCAGGGAGCTGAAGGGAGAGGGGAGTGAGTCTGAGGGCCTCTGGGGGTAGGAGGGTATCTCTGGAGTAGGTCAGGCAGCTGATCCCTCTGGCTGTACTGATCTGGGAATGATAAAGTTTTCTAGTGTCAGCTGAGGGGGAGGTGAGGGGTAGGAAGCTCTGTTAAACTGACAGTTGCTCCAGTGATTTTCCAGCCCCTGATCAAGGATAGGAAACCAGGCTCCTCCTGTTGTGACAAGTCTGAGAAGGGGAAGAGAGGACAAGTTGGGGCTGCCCACTGCTCCTAGAGGGCCCCACTAAGCATCTGATACCCACTGCAGGCTGGCACAGTTGTCTGGATTGGCATCCTGGTGTACACAGACCCAGCAGGACTGCGCACCTACCTTGCTGCCCAGGTGACGGAACAGAGCCCACTGGGTGAGGGCGCCCTGGCTCCTATGCCTGTGCCTAGTGGTGTGCTGCCCGCCAGCCACCCGGACCCTGCCTTCTCCATCTTCCCACCTGATGCCCCTAAGCTACCTGAGAACCAGACATTGCCAGGCGAGCTCCCTGAGCATGCAGGTCCAGCAGAGGGTGTCCATGACAGCCCAGTCCCAGAGGTAACCTGGGGGCCTGAGGATGAGGAACTTTGGAGGAAACTGTCCTTCCGCCACTGGCCCACACTCTTCAGCTACTATAACATCACACTGGCCAAGAGGTGAGTTAGGCTGTCCCAATCGCCACTCCCACTTGGTGGTGCCAGCTCACTTTCCCAAAGCACCCCCTTCCCGGACAGGTGAGAGAAGCACTGAATTCTGTACTGAATTTGAAATAATTAAAATAATTCATTAAGGTGATGAGATAGGGACTGGCTTACTTTGAGAACCTCAGGTTGCTTTCCCCTTCTTTCCCAGTGGCAGAGTTGAGTGCCACTGATGATTACCTGGGCGCTGGTGGGGGAAGTGTGAGTCTGGCAGGTAGAGGGAGCTGAGTCCTGCATGGGAAGAGAACAAGGGCAGGCAGGGCAATGGCAGGAGGACCCTGGGGGGCACCTTCCGCTGAGGCTGCTGCCCCATGTTATCTCCCAGGTATATCAGCCTGCTACCGGTCATTCCCGTCACGCTGCGCCTGAACCCCCGGGAGGCCCTGGAGGGACGGCATCCTCAGGATGGCCGCAGTGCCTGGGCCCCGCCTGGACCTGTGTCGGCTGGGCTCTGGGAGGCCGGGCCTAAGGGACCAGGCGGGGCCCAGGCCCACGGAGATGTAACACTGTACAAGTAAGGCCAGAGATGGGGCGAGAAGTGGGTCGGGTGGGGCCCACATTGGGGCACAGCCCGCTCATGCTCTGGTCCGCACAGGGTTGCAGCGCTCGGCCTGGCAGCGGGCATCATCCTTGTGCTGCTGTTGCTCTGCCTCTACCGCGTGCTCTGCCCACGCAACTATGGGCAGCTAGGTGGCGGGCCCGGCCGGCGAAGGCGTGGGGAGTTGCCTTGCGATGACTATGGCTACGCGCCGCCAGAGACGGAGATCGTACCGCTGGTGCTGCGCGGGCACCTCATGGTGAGCTGGCCGGGCGGGCGGGCAGCGTGTATGTGGCCTCGCTCTTGCCAGTACCCAATACCGCGCTTTCCCGCAGGACATCGAGTGTCTAGCCAGTGACGGCATGCTCTTGGTGAGCTGCTGCCTGGCTGGCCACATCTGCGTGTGGGATGCACAGACCGGGGACTGCCTCACGCGCATCCCGCGCCCAGGGTAGGTGCCACCCCCACACTACCCTGCTCTGTCACCCTCCTGCTGCGCCCTGCCCTCCTGAGCCCACCCTCCCGCCCCTCACCCCCAACAGGCAGCGCCGCGACAGCGCAGGCAGCGCTTTGGAGGCCCAGGAGAACTGGGAAAGATTGTCGGACGGCGGAAAGGCTAGCCAAGAGGAGCCTGGGGACAGCCCTCCGTTGCGACACCGGCCTCGGGGCCCTCCGCCGTCTTCCCTTTTCGGGGACCAGCCAGACCTCACCTGCTTAATCAACACCAACTTCTCAGCGCAGCCAAGGCCCCCAGAGCCTGCTCAGCCTGAGCCCCGGCACCGAGTGGGCTGCGGCCGTGCTCGGGACCCCCCAGGCTATGACTTTAGCCGGCTGGTGCAGCGTGTGTACCAGGAGGAGGGGCTGGCGGCCGTGCGCATGCCCGCCCTACGCCCGCCCTCCCCTGGGCCTGTGCTGCCCCAGGCCACCGAGGATGAGGGGTCTTCTCCAGAGAAGGGCTTCCTTCCCCTTTCCTGGGCCCCCAGCGCCTATGGCTCCATCTGGAGCTTGGAGCTGCAGGGCAGCCTCATTGTCGTCGGTCGGAGCAGCGGCCGGTTGGAGGTGGGCCAGGGGGCTGCCTGAGGGTGGGGCAGGTTCTCACAGCCCTTTCCCTTGGGGTGCTTACAGCCTCTGGCCTAGCAGGTGTGGGACGCCATCGAGGGTGTGCTCTGCTGCAGCAGCGAGGAGGTCTCCTCCGGCATCACAGCCCTCATCTTTCTGGACAAGAGGTGAGTGCGCCAGCCTCCCAGGGCCCATCCATGCTCTGGGGCTTAGGCCTGGCTCCCCTCCACTGGTGTGTGTATGGATTTTCTCCATCCCAGCCCCCACACCATCTGGGGAGGGAATGGCACCTAAATGAGTTTTGGGGTATGAAGGATTTACTGAGCCAAGTTAAATGCTAAAGCCCCAAGACCCTTCCACACTGTAACATGGAATTGAGTGCCTGGTGTTCCTTTCTACCCTCCTGAAGTCAATTTCTCTTATTAGCTTGTCATTACCGACCCTGCAGGGGTCAGCTGCATTTTCAGAACTTTGTTAAAAGTCCTTTCTCTGGCTGCCTTCTCATCTCCTGCCCGCTGTGCTGCCTGCCCTTTAACCCCCTTGGCTGCCAGTGTTCCTAGGCCTCCTATCTGATTTGCACCCAAGTCTCCACCTGTGGCCAGGGGCCTCCTGCTGTCACATGCTGGTTCCCTCCTTCAAGGGTTCCCAACTGCTGGTGGCATCACCATCAAGCTAGAGCTGGAGCCTTTTTTTCTTGGGGTGGGGGGAACCCTTGCCCTTTGCTTTCTCCATTTGTCAGTTGCTTTCTTTTCCACCACCACTGGACTCCCAAACAGGCCTTTCTCCATCCCACCTTCCAGCCTGGACAACTTCATCAGGTCCCAAGATTGTTAGAAATCCTCCTTGTAGCTTATTTTCCTTAGCTTTAGGGAAAGGCCAGATGTCTCAGTTCTGACCCTCAAAGTACCAGGGGACTGTGATCTCCCCTTCTCGACCTTCCCCTTCCTATGTACCATGGTCTCCCCACGTCTGCTGTGGGCTCTTCAAATTCATGTGCAGAGGTCGTAGACATGCATTGCCTTTTGTTGGTTTTTTTGTGTGTGTGTGGCACTGAGGGCTGAACTCAGGCTCTCACAAAGCAGAGCCACTCTGTTGCCTGGAGTAAGATTACTGACCTTTTACACACTTTGTAGTTTCAGTTTGGGGGCCCAGTGGGCAAATGTACATATCCTTGCCTGTCAGCCTGTGCCTAGTTCAAAGCCGCTTATGTGACGGAGATGGTAGTTCCCTGCAGCTCTGCACCACAGCCCACCTAGAAGTGAACCAGTCTCCCCCACACCCCCTTTCCCTTAAGCTCCGGGCTGTTGGGGGAGATCCTCCACTTGTTTTTGCTTTTACAGCTGTGCCCGACATTCACCAGATACCACCTTACATGTATTAGCTCATTTAATTCTCACAACCACTGAGGTAGGCACCTTTACTTCCACCTTGCATGGTTTCTTCTTTTTGCAGTACTGAGGTTTGAACTCAGGGTCTCATGCTTGCTAGGAAGGTGCTCTACCACTTGAGCTACAACCCCAGCCCCACCTCGCTTCCCCCGAGCCTCATTTGGCTCTAGTCCTTTCATGTCACTTTCTGAACTGGTCCTATCTTGCTGTGGGAGAACCACTCTGCTCTTTTCTTCCAGGATTGTGGCAGCTCGGCTCAATGGTTCCCTTGATTTCTTCTCCTTAGAGACCCACACTGCCCTCAGCCCTCTGCAGTTCCGAGGTCAGAGAGCCAGGGGCAGACATATCTGTACATGGTGGGGAGGTAGGGGGTGAGGGGGATGCCTGCCAGATGCCTTCCAATAGGCCTCTCACTGAGCCCATTGTCCTTAGGGACCTCAGGGCGGGGCGGTTCTCCCTCATCTCCTGTGTACAGCAGCAGCGATGCAGTGGTCTGTCACCTGACCCACACAGTGCCCTGTGCACACCAGAAACCCATCACAGCCCTAAGAGCTGCTGCTGGGCGCCTGGTGACTGGTAGCCAAGACCATACCTTGAGAGTGAGTAGTTTTCTGTCTGGGCTGGGGAACTGCATGGACCAGAGTGGGGCTACAGGAAACCTGGAGGAATGATAGACAGCAGTTCCTGGGCCAACGTCTAGCTTGGAAAGTCCCAGAGCCTGCTCTTCCCTATCTTATCTCAGGTGTTCCGTCTGGAGGATTCGTGCTGCCTCTTCACCCTGCAGGGCCACTCAGGGGCCATCACGACTGTGTACATAGACCAGGTGAGGTGGAGGGACCCCAAGCCAGCTAGTGGCCCTTGTGTTGTTTCCCGAGGACTAGCCTCCAGGGCCTTCGATGAAGCACAGGACCCCGTCCCTTGGGATATGGGAGACACTGTTGATAAAGGCACTCTGTCACAGTGACCCCAATCCTCTGGTCCTTTTCTCCCAGACCATGGTGCTGGCCAGTGGAGGACAAGATGGGGCCATCTGCTTGTGGGATGTGCTGACTGGCAGCCGGGTGAGCCACGTGTTCGCTCACCGTGGGGATGTCACCTCCCTTACCTGTACCACCTCCTGTGTCATCAGCAGTGGCCTGGATGACCTCATCAGCATCTGGGACCGCAGCACGGGCATCAAGCTCTACTCCATTCAGCAGGTCAGCAGGTGGGGGGTGGGGCACAGTGTTCTTGGTGCTTTGGGGAAGGACTTGAGACACTGAAAGGTCTCTTCTGGCCCTACCCCCAGGACCTGGGCTGTGGTGCAAGCTTGGGAGTCATCTCAGACAACCTGCTGGTGACTGGTGGCCAGGGCTGCGTCTCCTTTTGGGACCTAAACTACGGGGACCTGTTACAGACAGTGTACCTGGGGAAGAACAGTGAGGCCCAGCCTGCCCGCCAGATCCTGGTGCTGGACAATGCTGCCATTGTGTGCAACTTTGGCAGTGAGCTCAGTCTGGTGTATGTGCCCTCTGTGTTGGAGAAGTTGGACTGAGGGTGGGTAGTAGCTGAGACCTCTGGGCTGGCTGCATGGGGGCCTCCCTGTAAGTCTGGACTGCTGTTGGGGCCAACACACTGGACCTAGACTGGGGGTACTGCTTCTTGACTGTAATATTAAACTTTTTAAAAAATTACATTTGCTAGTGGCTTGAGCTACTTGTGTCTGCCCTGAAGGAGCTGCCCAAGAAATGTATTGTGATGTGGATGGCACATGGTGGAGGACCAGTGAGCCAGAATGTGGGAGCCTCCCTAACTTAAATACTCATTTCAGAGGCTGGCCTACTATCTCCCAATGTGATACTAAGCTTTCAATCGTGGTGTTCCTGAGGCAGTACTGGGTGGTCTCAGACATTGGCCACAGAACAGGTTTATTATTTGATTAGCAAAGAGCTGGGGAAAAAAAAAAAAAAAACCATCAGGTCCCACAAAGGAGCAGAACCTGGCTCAAGGCGCATCTCCATCCCACAGAGGTGCACACTGGGCCAGGTGGGGCAAAAGGCAGCAGGAATAGAAATAAGAGGCTGTGCCCACCCAGAGAGGCTGGTGGGGCATGAGAGACAACGTAGTGTAAGGACCAGGCAGGCAGGGCCTGTTCAGGTTTTGTTGAGTGTCCAAAGTGGATCCAGAAGGCTGAGGGGGTCATCAGTAGGCTGGGCAGCCCTCAGACCTTGCCCGTTGTGGGCCTGCAGAAAGTTCTGCTTGCTCATTCGCTGCTTTCCCCGCAAGGAGCTGTCCAGGGAAAAGGCTTCTGGGGTCAAGGAAGCCAGCAGCTCCAGGGATGAGGAGGGGGGCCCAGGCCCCAAGCTGGGCGCTTCAGGCACGGGCTGCTCCTCCTCAGACTGGGGGGCCTCAGGCTGAGGTGAAGAGAGGGGGGGTGGGGAGGAGGCTGGGACTGGGGGGGGCTCTGGAAGATTGGCTGGTGGGAGACCTGGGGGTGACTCTGTAGGGCCTGGTAGGTTGACAGCTGGAGAATCCAAGCCCCCAGGAGACCGGATGCTGAGCTTGGCAATAGTAGCCTGGATGGAACTGATGGGTACATCCCCGCCGAGGACCAGGTCCTGGGAATCCTGAGGAAGGGGATTCTGAGAAGGGAGGGTCAGTGAGGAGATTCAGTAGGATGTCCCAGCACTCCCCAAGAAACCTTCCTCACCTTCTGGCTGCTGTTCACGCCAGCCAAGGGTTTGCATGGAGGGGGCACACCATGGCGCTGCAGGACCTGTTCCACATGCCTCACCAGGGCCTCATGGCAGAACCTGAGATGCAGCTGGAGAGGTGCGTGTGGCCTGTCAGCTGGGCAGGGGCCGTGACCACAGGGCAGAGGCCCATCCCTCACCAACCTCACCTTCTCCTGTAACATGTGCTTCCTCTGTTGTCGCATGCGCCGCACCAGCTGAGGCAGCTCAGGAATCCCATTCCCGGCCTCCACCTCCTGCACAGCTGCGTAAAGCAGTGCAAAGGCTCCCGTGCGCCCAACACCGGAGCTGTGGTAAGAAGGGGTCTGAGAGCAGGCATGGAGCCCACAGGGGAGGATCCTTCAAGTAGCTGCCTGTCCCTACCTGCAGTGCACAACAACTGGCGTGTGCAGGGGCCGCTGGTGCAGGTAATGCGCGTGCACCTCCTGGATAAAGCGCAGCAGGTTCCCAGGGCTGTCGGGCAGGCCTCTGCGGGGATGGGTCACGCATGAGCCAGGCCTGATTGGAGGCCTTCACCCCTCACAGCACCAAGCGTACACCCCCACTATCCCCATCCAGGGCACTGGACGCACAACTCAGGCCACGTGGGGAAGTGGAGGTGCACGAGGGAGCGCTTAAGGCTCTGGTCACGGAACTGCAGGCTTAGCACACGTTCCACGTGGGTTTCTGTGGTGCGGACGCTGCTCAACGCCAGGCTCAGGACCCCATGCACCATGGGCTGGCCCCTCTCTGTGGGGAAGTAGCGTGCCACCTTTTGCTGAGGGGAAGACAGGACAGTTGGGGCTAGTTTTCCAGGATTCCCTGCCCCAAAATTCCCTGAAGAGCACCCACCTAACCGCTCCCTCTCACCTTCTCCATCTCAGCTTCAGACACCAGCATGACAATAACTGACACTTTCTGCTCATGCACCATGAGCCAGAAGTCAGCAGCTGTGCCAGGAAGTGGGGCCTGGGTGGCCACTAAGGGCGGGCAGTATGGCGAGAGCCCCTCCACACAGCTAGCATTGATGTAGTCATCCTTGCCCGAGCGAAGCACCACACGATTACTGTCATAGGGCATGACATCCTGGTGTCGATTCTTCAGCGAGTAGCAGCGGGCAATGGCAATGGAACGGCCTCGGGCGTCGTGTTCCTGAGCCTCTTGCAGCTCCCGCCAGACAGTGTCCAGTGCCCCCATGTCACCCAGTTGGCCTCGAAAGGTCTCCAGCTCCTGCTGCAACTGCCGCAACCTCTCAGGACACTCATAGGGGTCCCGCTCAATCAGCCGTAGGGCCTGAGGCCGCCGGCCCTCAGCTGCATCCACCTTGGTAGGCTGCAGCAGGGGCTGCCCACCTCCAGGAGGCTGAGCACCACCATGCTGGCTCTCGGGACTAGAAGATAGCAGATCTGCAGCCGAAGTGCCTCGGCGCAAGCATGGTGGTGGCTCGGCTGCTGGGGGCCGAGAGGGCACTGGGCCAGGCCCTGGTGAGGGAGCAGGCGAAGGCACCAAGTGGGGACTAGGGGTGGGTGGGCCAGCAGGTGGGGGCCCACGAATAGAAAGAGAGGCTGCCTGGGAGCCCAACGGCCTGGGAGAAGGGGCAGGGGCATATGCTAGGGTGGGATGTGGAGGCTGAGGGGGTCCAGGGCTGGGGAAAGGCAGAGCCCCTGAGTGGGAGGGCAGAGGGTCTTGAGAAGGGCCAGGGTAGAGTTGGGTGTGCAGGGGCGGTGGCGGCTGCCCTAGGACACCAGCCTGAGGGGGAAAAGAATAAGGGGGCTGTGGTGGTAGGATTCCTGGGGCCTGGGGTGAAAACAGATGTGGATGCTGGAATGTCAGAGGCTGCTGGGGGGGATGAGGCCCAAATGCCACCCGTGAAGGATGAGGCTGGGGTTGGGGGCCAATCCGGGGGGCTGGAAAGCCTGTGGGGATCCCAGGAGAAAAGTGGTGCTGTGCTGAGGGAGCTGTGAGGGGCTGCTTGGTTCCTAAAGAGTATGTATAGGGTGTGCGCAGGGGCTGTGGCTGGGGCATGGGAAAGCAGGGCTGAGGCGGCACAGGGGTGGGGTTTGGCAGAGGTGCTGTGTGGCTGGAGATGGGGGCCTGGACACTGTCTACCGTGGTGGTTGCTGGCCGAATTGCCATGGCCAACTCAGGGCCTGAGAACTGGGGAGGTGGGGCTGAGGGCAAACCTGCAACTGGTGGAGGTGGCCCTACCCCTCCATAAGGACTGCTCACCACCCCATGCTGGGGGGAAGATCGGGGCACGAGGCCCAGCTCTGGTGTGTAGGTAGGTGCTGGATACAGGGCAGGCCCAGGTGCCATGGGCACTGCAGGGGGGCCTGAAGCCCTGGACTGCATCAGCTGGGTGGGGCCTGAGTAGGTGCCGGGGGGTACTGGTCCTGAGAGGTAGTGGGGTGCTGGGCCTGTGGAGCTGAGGAAAGGGCCAGGAGGAAAGTGCAGTGGGGTAGCAGTTCCCAAGAAAGGGTCAGGCAGCCGTGGGCCAGCCACCATGTCAGGAGGCAGGCTGCGCAGCTCCTCGGGTGGGTCTACTGTCTCCACAGTCTCACCCTCCTCCCTACGGGGCAGCAGTGGTTTGGGGGCCGTGGGCCGTGGTGGGGGCTTCTTCTTCAGCTCCCTGTGGAATAGGCAGAGAAGGCCAGCCACCATAAACCCAGCTGCCTGGGGTTGAAGCCACACACACAAGCCCAGGGCAACACCCACCTGTCCAGGAGCTGCTGGCGGGTTGCCTCTCGGGCCCGGCAGGTAGACTGTGCTCGTTCTAGCAGGGCAGCCACCTTGCTCTCCAGGTCTGCATAGAAGTCCTTGCCCTCCTGGGACTTCTTCATCAGATCCTCATAGGCTTCATATGAGGCCACCAGGGTCTGTAGTGTGGAGTTCCACCTGATGGGCAGAAGGGCCGGGGTGAGGCAAGCTGCCAGGGTGGGGCTTGGGGCAAGAACGCAGCCAGGTACTTACTTTTGGTCCAGTTCACTGAGCACCCTTCGGACAGCTGCATACTGCACATTGGCCTCTGTCAGCGCACGGAGGACGTTGTCCTGGGCAGCCAAGTTCTGTTCCAGATATACCTTCAGCTGGCCATACTTCTTCAGCTGCTCCTCAAACAGCTTCTGAGGGAGGGTGGGGGCAACACTCAGGGTTTTACTACCTGAGGATGAAGCCCAGAAGCACAGCCCCTCCACCATGCTTGCTTAGCCCACCTTCATCTCCGAGTGGTCAGTGGTAACCAGGGAGGCAGTGATGTCATCCTTCTGGATCAGCTCTCGCAGCTGCTGCTCAAGGGACACACGCTGGTCTCGCATCTCCTGCACCTTGGCCAGGATGCGCTTCAGGTTCTGTAGCACAGCCTTATCCTCTGGAGGCAGTAGCAGTCGGTGAGGCCAAAGAAACCCCCAGTTCCCAGCCTTTCCCCACAGCAATGGGCAGGGCTCACCTGGGGTAAGGGTGGGTGTGGGCAGGGCAGCCCGCACTTGGTCCAGTGGCCCACTGAGCAGGCGCAGGTTGCCGACATGCACATTCATGGCACGATGCAGCTCACTGTTGGTGAAGGAGGCCTTTTCATGCACTTCCATATACTTGGCCCACTCTCGCCTCACCTCTGCCAGTTCAGCCTTGGCCACAGCTGGGCCAGCCCCAGCCTGGCCTAATGCCTCCTGCAACTTCTGCTCTTGCAGCTCATCTTCTTCTAGCAGGTCCCGGATGTCCTTCAGAGAGGCTTCCACATCCGTGAACACACCCGACAGCACTGGGAGGCATTGAGGGGCAACCACTGAGGCAGGCAGACCATCCCCCACAGGACAAAACTGCCTGCTTGGGTCACAGCTTGTGATAGCCCAGTGCTTGCCAAATTCCACAGAACAGGGTGCACATGGTTCAGTGGTCCATGTACCCCCCAGGCATGCAGGGTACATGCCTCAGCCAGGGCTTAGAGAGCACGGCCTATATCCTCAGTGAACAGGGGACACGGGAGGAGGTCGTGGCAGATGACATACGTGTTACCCACCCACCTGCATGCTCTGTGCCTCACTCACTCACCTTGCATGGACTGGACGAGGTTCCTGACAGTATCGGGCCGGACACTGAGCGCTGCACACTTCTCCATGAGCTGGGGCGGGATGTGGCTGTATGCATCCAGGTTGTCCACTGTCTCAGGATCCAGCTGCATTGAATCCATGAACTGGCTGTGAGGGGCAACAGGATCAGATGGGCGCTGCCCACATTCCTTCCACGTGAATGGAGCCTGCTGGTACATGCCCCTCCACTGGAACTAGGTCTGAGGTCTAGCAGAGAAAAAATCACCACTCCAACCTCTACCGCTACCACACAGACCCAGCATGCCCAGCCCTGCCGGAAACGGCAGAAGGACATCTTCCCTCCAAGACACAAGACCTTATAAATGTAGCCTATGAGACACTGGGTGGGCGGGGGAGGGCGGGAACAGTTAGGAAATCTGCTGTAAACAGAACAGACACATCACTCTCCTCACCCTCACAGCAGCACAATGTGTACCCCACATCCCATCCCCAGTCCCATACTTACTCCAGGACCTCATTCTTGTCCTCAATCTTGGCCATCATTTCCCGAAGCAGCTTGGCCTTCTCCTCGCTGAAGAAGCAACAGAGCAATTGCTAGAGCCCAGTACTTCAAGACACCAGAAGGCCCTCTGTGCCAAGGTCAAGGCCAGCCACTCCCACCTACCTATATAGTGATGAGGCTTCATGGGCAGCCATGGGTACCAATTTGGCAAAGATATCAGGACCCGTAACGGCTGGGTCTGTGGGGTTCACTGGCAAGGGCTTCACCAAGGGGGCTCCTGGTGGAAGGTAGGGGGTGGAGAGTGGGGTTAAATCACAGGGATTAGACCCCAAGCAGCCTCCTATCCCTCCATTTCCCCCACAATCCAGTCCTCTGCCTCCCTCAGCTCCCAGACCTTTTACAGGCTGAAGAGTGTCCAGGGCTGGGACAGCCTCATGGTAGATGAAGTCATTGTCCTTCTTGGCAGAATTGTACCTGGGGGTCAGGAGCAGGGGTAGTGAGGAACTGGGGGTGTCAGCAGGGATCCACAACCTAGATTCCCATGTAGGCTACTGCCACTGCTCTCTTGCACTGGTGGCTCCCTCCCAGGAAGGCAAAAGAACAAGACCCTTCACAGTAAGAGGAAACCCAATCCTGCACTCACTTTCCCCCAATAACGTCCATAGCGAAGCGAAGTGCATCTTGCACAGTGTCAGGCTGGCCCTGTGGGACAGAGACAGGAATAGGGCCCCAGCCCCAACCAAGGATAGCGCCCGCAGGGGTCTGAGGAGCAGCCAGGCCTCCCCAGCTTTACCTTGGCCAACTTGATGGCTTCATTAAGCTTGTCCAGGGCACTCTGCAAATAGGCCACCTACAGAGGGAAAAGCCTGGTTTGTACTTTTCCCCGTGGACTCCATCTCCTCCTGCCTCCCCACTTCACCATGCCTGGCCATGAGGTGACCCATGAGACAACAAGAAGCCTGGTCAACAGCACAAAGGTAGCATCCTCCAAAAGCCTCCCTCTCTATGGGGAGTCTACCCTGCCAATTCTCCTCAGACCTCTAGGGACAAGGGCTGTATGGGGGAAGAGGGATGCCAGGCCTAAAGCAGAATGATAGGCAGGGACGTGGGGATGAGACCTAGAGGACAACTCTTCACCCCATTCTGTGAAGGACAGGACAGAGCCAGGATCTCACAAGGCTGGAACCCATCCTAAGTGCCCCTCGCCACAGTCAACTCACCTGCTCCCCGAATTTCTGCTGCTCCTCAGCCTGCTTCCCCATGTGCAGCTGGGAAAGAAGAAGAGGCATTACGACCTGTCTCCTAAGCTGCAGCCTCTTGGCTCAGCCCAGACCCAGTGACCCTGTGCCCTCACATGAGCCACAGCTGCGAAGTAGTGGATCTTCATCTGCACCAGCTTCTTCCAGTCTTTCTGGATCCGGCCCAGCAGTGAGGCAGTGTCAGGATTTTCCAAGGCCCGGCAGGCCTCCTTATAGTAATCTACCACCTGCACGTGGGGACAGGGCCAGTTGGTGGGAATCAAGCAAAGCAAAGGCTTGCCCCTCATCCCTGTCCCTACCTGTGCACTGATGCGGGCCACTAGAAAGCTCTTCCTGTTGTCCAACATCGACTTCTCCAGCAGGCATTCCTGGGCCTGGCCCTGGGGCAACATATGCAGGTCACTCCCTTGCTCACCTGGAGGCCTTTCCCTTCCTGGGGGATAGGGAGGGATGGACCAAGGGACCCCCTCTTTTTTGACCTCTCCTTCAGCACAGCTTCCCCTACCCCAAGAAGCACCACTCTGCACCTAATCTGCCTGGAGGTTGGGAGCAAGGACTCCTGCTTGTCCCTCACTGCCACCTGCTCGTCCCTCACTGCCACCTGCTCATGGCTGGTTGAGGATCCAGACCTAACTGTATCCTCCCTCAGCCATCTCAGCCCCTGGATTCAGCTCCAACCAGGGCACCTCCTCACCAGCATGAGGTTGACGTTGAGAGTGAGAATCTGGCGGCTCATGTCGACACTGTAGGCCTGTGGGAAGTGCTCCCGCAGGTAGGCAAAGGCGCCTGCTGCGCACTGGAAGTGGGTGCAGGAAACCTTCATGCCCTGGGAAGAGGAGGGTGGCCTGTATCCACTCTATGAGGCCAGGTATTTCAAACTCTGGTGGCCAAGGATACTCAGCACCCTCTCTGGCACATCTGTATGTCTCACTACTGCCCTTTTCCTTACCTCCTCGGACACCCGCTTGTCCATAGCCCCCAGCATGGAGTGCAGAGCACCTGGGAAGGCAGAGGATAACGGTGTTAGGGAAGCCTGGGGATACTCCCAGTGTTGCCTATGCCTGTCTCAAGGTTGAAACATAGGACGCACAGCTATCATTCAGTCAGGAAAACAGACTGAGAACTGGGGCAGTCAGCCCAAGGATGCCCAAGCTGGAGTAAAAACAGAAGTGCAGCCAAGCCCTTCAGTCTCCTGCTCTGCATTTGGCAAGGGTAGGGGTAGAGGAAGTTAAGACCCCCATGCTCTTCCACAGCCAGGCTGAGGCTGACTTTCAGGGCAAGCTGGAGACAGTCTTCTCCTCTTGCCTGAAGCAGCCCAAAGCTATAAGGGGAGAAGGGAGCACTGTCCAGTCAAAGAAGAAAGGCTCTCTCCCAGTCAGAGCACACAGTGACAACTGTATGTGGCTCAGCCAAACCAGCACAGGGGCTCCCCAGGGGCCCAGAAAACAGAGGAGCCAGCAGAGCTGTGGTGGAAGCAGTGGAGAGATCAGAACCCAGGTGTTTGCCCATCATTGGCCCATGGCCTTCGTGGCCATCTGAGATCCTGGGCTGGCAGGGCTGGGATTAGGAGCACTAGATCAGGCAACTCACCAAGATTGTAGAGAATACAGGCCTGCTCGTACTTGATGTCCTCATGGGCCACAGACTTGCCTGAGAAGATCTCGGTCCTGCAGACATGCCAAACCAGTCATCTAGAGGGTAGGAGCTGACTGGGGCCTCCCAGCCACCCCAGCATGGGGCTGGTGGGAGGCCTGGGGAGACTGCACTAGTCCATTTCCCATCCTGTGCAGCAAGGGGAGAGGAGGGAGAAAGGCACATGCCCACTACCCAGACACCCCCACTATTCCAGGCTCCCTCCAGGCTCCCCACTCTCCAGCCCTGATTTCCAGCTCTCACCAGGTGACAGGGACAGCAGCCTCCTGGCCAGAGCCCATGGGCACCCGACTCTGCAGGTAGTGGAGCTGGCCAAGGTACTTGCGCAGGACACTGCAGCCCTCAAAGTCCCTTGGGACACGAACAGCATTCTGGGGGGCAGGATGAGAGAAATAGTTCTGCCATCATTTGGATCCCACAAGGATCCAAAACCCATCGTTACAAGTATAGTCACTGGACAAACCATCCCACCAGCCAGGGCTTGTGGACTACGAGTTAGTCTCACGTTTCTAGAAGGCTGATTCCAACATGTTTTAAAATTTTTACTATACCTAACTTGATCAAAGTTCTGTATCTAAAAATACAGTAAGAGACATCCAGGGAAAAAAATACTTGGATGTGCGTATCACAGCATTATTATATTATTATTACAGTACTGGGGTTTGAACCCAAAACCTCATACTTAACTAGGCAGATGCTCTACCACTTGAGCCACTCTGCCAGCCCATATCATAGCACTATTACCAGAGTCAAAAACTGGATGCCACCAAACTTTCCCTTAAAGAGAATTGTTTAACTTTTATCAAGGCTAGCCACACAAGGGAACATTCTGCAGCCGTGAAAAATAAAGACAAGGGTCTCTGCTGATTAATACACCAAGATGTCCATGGTGTAATACTAGGCAAAAAAGCAAGTAACAGGTGAATGGTATGATCTCACTTCTGTGACGCCACACACAATAACATGCAAGTAGAAATGTAGAACAAAAAGAAAAAAAAAAAATCCAGAAAACTTTGTGCCCCAAAATGTTGACAGTGACTACCTGTGTGTAATAAGATGAAAGTGATTTATCTTTTCTATACATGTATGCAGACATATATTATGCATTTGACAGAAATACGAATTTAATTCCTTATGTTGTTTATATATTTATATGGAACATTTTCAATTTTTATAACAAAGCTATTCCTATTTTGGGAAAAAACAGAACAAAGCAAGTGAACCTGGGTTCAAACAAACAAAAAAGCAGACAACATGCTCTGAAAAGCAGGTGCCCTGAGAGAGCTAGGCCAGAAGTGCTACAACCCTCACCTCCCCACCCTGTGTAGAAGATGAGGCCAGCAGCCTCCCGATTTCCACCTGAGTAGTTAGGATTATAGGTGTGCGCTGCTGCGCCCAGCATCAATCTCCTCTCATACAGGAGGATAATCTCCCCTTGGAGTAAGGCCTCTAGAATGCCCAGTGCAAGGATGAGCTGTGTCACAGTCACCTACTGAAAAGTTATGTCAGGTGTCTGTCCCACGGGGCACAGCTTCTCAAATCTAATCATTCTTATCACGTCCCTTCTCATGACCTCTGCTATATTCAAGTCCCACTTGGACTTGACACTTTCCTTTAAACCAACACACTGAAGAAAATTAGAGCCACAGCTGAAGCAGAAAAAGCCCTGAAATAACAGATTTGATGTGCTAGCCACACATTTTTTATACTCACTAAAGCACACACAAAAACATTAAAGTAAAACGAAATGATTTTGTACTTCTCAAAACCACCTTTGGGAAACAATGGAAGCAATTCTCCCTCCAGGTCAGACAGATCCACCTGCACCTGTCACCCTGCAAGCAATCAGCACCCTCATGTCTTAGTCTGGTCTGTCACTCTCATGAGCTGCAGAGGAGTCTGAAAGCAAGCTTATGTGTGCCACCTCGCACCTGTCAATTTTATTCCCTGCAATCACAGAGCCAAGACTAGTCCAGCCCCAGTTTTACAGATGAAACTGAGCCCCAGGACACTGAAGAGAATGGCCTAAAGCTTCCCAAATTGCATCCACCTTCCTTGTTCTTCTACATGTTGTTAAGATAAAAGGATAACTTGAATTTTACTCTCTGCTTTGGATGGCTGCTGTTAACATATTTTCTCTTATTCATTAAAAACTAGACTCAAGCTGGGCGGTAGTGGCTCCTATCTGTAATCCTAGCTATGTGGGAGGCTGAAATCAGGAGGATTGTGGTTTGAGGCCATCCCAGGCACATAGTTCATGAGACCCCATCTCAAAAGCCACTAGTGCAAAATGGACAGTACAGTGCTTTCTTTACAAGTGTGAAGCCCTGAATTCAAACCCTAGATCCACCAAAACAACAAAAAAAAGTCCTAGACTTAACATTTGTTCAGGGTGAGACCCAGTACTGCCAAAAAAAAAAGAAAACAATTTCGAGTGTTCTAAGTGGAAAATGCTCTATGGTTTCACGGGTTTAAGAAGCACAGATCTAGTCTAACTTCCCCATGAAGAAGCCAAGGCCCAGGAAGGGAAGCAGCTATCTGGGGCAATACATGCTGGGTTCCTGCTCCAAGGACTTTCCAGCCCACTGCTCTGCATGGGCTGCCACCCTACACTGCAGAGGATCTGCATCGGAAGAGGCTTTGGCAAAGCGTCAAAACTCCTCCTAAGTATTGTGAACATGTGCAATGTGTGCCTGTGTGTGCACAATGGTGGTAGTCCTGGGGATTAAGATCATCTCACTAGTTTTCAAACTTTGTTCAAATAAAATTCTTACTGAAAATTCAATTCCTGAGGAGGATTCTGGGAAGGTGACAGTTCAACTAAGAAGCACCAGAACTGTGTCTCTCCACAAAGACAACAACTCCACTGGTAGGCCATGCCTGAAGTCACTATTTCAGAACTCAGGAGTCTACTAAATAGTAAAGGCTTCCAGGGGAAGGCTTGACAGTAAATTATGGTTAATTTCAGTCCATTTCAGCTCCTGGTACAGCAGCAGTCACCTGCCCCATCCTCAGCACCTGGCAGGCAGCCACACACAGCTCAAGGAACAGCTTGTGAGAGTGATCCAAAAGGACTCTGTCCTCCCAATACAGGCCATGTGTACTCTAACTGCTGGTTGATGCTTCTGATCTCAGAGATGCAAAAACTCAAGACACCAAGCTAACTGTACCTCTCTCCATTGTGGCAAGAGCCTCCTCCATCTCTAGCTGAAGACACTCCCATGGGATTTAAAGACAAAGCACCATCCCACCCTTACCCTCCTTTCATGTTTCTCTTTTTCCTCCTTCAGGAGCATCTGAAAGATACACAGGGAGAATTAGAGAGCCATCCCACATGCCCAGGGAAAAGAGCAGGCTCAGAAGAGCCCTCAGAAGACCTTAATGTTTACACTTGAAATTAATCCTTAACACAGAGCCAGCCTACAACAATCAGAAAAACAAAACCAAAAGTCAGCAAGCCTTTGGTCTGGAGGTTTGGCTCAAGTAGTAGGTGCTTCCCTACCAAGCGAAAAGCCCTGAGTTCAAACCCTAGTACCTGCTAAAAGAAAACAACAACAATAAAAAGGTAGCAAACCCCAGGGAAGCAGGAAAACCTGATTTCCAGAAACACTACATCATTAGATTCAAATGCCTAGTTTTCAAGAACAAAAAAATTACACAGTGTACAAAGAAACAGGAAAGTAAGGACCATTCAAAATTAAAAAATAAACTGACAAAAACTGTCCCTGAAGCTGGATGTTGGTTGCTCATGCCTATAATCCTAGCTACTTGGGAGGCTGAGGTCAGGATTGTGATTTGAGGCCAGCCCAGGGAACTAGTTCATGAGACCCTATCTCCAAAATAACCAGAGCAAAATGGACTGGAGGCATGGCTCAAGCAGTAGAGTACCTGCTTTGCAAGTACAAAGCTCTGAGTTCAAATCTCAGTCCCACCAAAAAAAAAAAAAAAAAAACCTATCCCTGAGAAAGACCAGCTAGACCCAAAAAAAAGTAGATACACTAGACAAAGACTTTAAAACAATCATCACGGCTGGGGATGTACCTCAGTGGTACAGCACTTGTCTAGCATGCATGAAGCCCTGGGTTTAATCCCAACCACCACAAAAACAAAAAAGCCTTGAAGGTCTTCAAAGAATTAAAATATATGCCAAAAAAAAAAATCAAGAAAATAACATATGAACAAAATGGAAATACAAGAGACACAGAAAACCCTCAAGAAACCAAAAGGAAATTCATTGAGATGAAAAATTCACTAGAGGGGTTCAAAGGCAGATTTGAGCAGGAAGGAAAAAAGAAGCAAACTTGAAGATAGGACAATTGGAATTACTGAGTCTGAGGAACAAAAAGGAAAAAGATTGAAGAAAAATGAACAGAACCTCCATATACAGTGTGGAAGGTCCTGAAGAGAAAATGGGCCAGAGACAATGGGAAGAAATAATGGTGAGAAATTCCAAATATGATTTGAAAAACATGAACACAAACATCCAAGCAGCTCAACAAATTCCAAGTAGGAATGATTCAAAGAGACCCACACTGAGATGTGATGATCAAACTCTGAAAGACCAAGACAAAACCTGAAAAGAAGCAAAGAGAAGCAATTCACCACACAAGGGATTGTCAAGAAGATCCTTAGCGGACATCTCTCAGAAACTTTGGTGACCAAAAGTCTGATATATTCAAAGCACTAAAAGAAGGAAGAACTGTCAACCAAGGATCCTATTGCTGGCAAAACTGTCCTTCAGAAGCAAGGAAGAATTCAAGGCAGTCCCAGATAAGCAAAAACTGATGGAATCTGTTAGACCTGCATTGTTAGAAATTCCTAAGGGAGGGCACATACGAGGCCCCGAGTTCAAACACCAGTACCGCAAAAAAAAAAAAAAAGAAAGAAAAATTGAATTCATACACAGTATATATAAACATACCAATCAATTACACTCCTTCTTTTGGTGCCAAAAGACATATTCTTCTACACTTTCAAATCATAAATAAAAAAAATTTAAACCTTTTGTTATTCAAGTAGAAAAAGGTTTTTAATTACTCTAAAACAAAAGGGCAAGTAAAGTGACTGACTTTTAACAATTTTTTCGTTTTAAGAACTGCGTCACTGGGCACCAGTGGCTCACACCTGTAATCCTAGCTACTCAGGAGGCAGAGACCTGGTGGATCGCGGTTCGAAGCCAACCTGGGCAAACAGTTTGAGAGACCCTATCTCGGAAAAAACCCTTCACAACAAAAAGGGCTGGTGGAGTGGCTCAAGGTGTAGACCCTGAGTTCAAGCCCCAGTATGGGGGAAGAAGAAAAAAAAAAAAAGAACTGTGTTGCCTTCCTTAGAAATGAGGTTAAGTTGCTCCACTTAAACGTAATAAAAGCCACATGTAAAAAGCCCCCAGCTAACCTCACATTCAATATTGAAAACCTGGAAGTTCACTAATACCAGGAACAAGTCAAGGATGCCTGCTTTTGCCAACTCTATTAACATACAGGTTCCAGACAGAGCAATTAGGCAAGAAAAACAAATCAAAGGCATCCAAACTGGAAAGGAAGAAGTCAAATTATCTCAATTTGCAGAAAACATGATCTTTCAATCAAAAACTCCCAGATTTCCCCCAAAACTTTAAAAATAATTCTACAAAGTTGCATGATAACAAAATTAACACACAACAATCACTGTGTTTCTATACCTAACAATGAACATGTAAAGGAAATTAGGAAAACAATTGTTAATGATAGCATCAAAAAGAATAAATTAGGGCCCAGCACTGTGGCTTACACCTATAATTCGAGCTACTCAGGAAGGAGACAGATCAGAAGGATTATGGTCGATCATGATCTGTTGTCAGCCCCAGACAAAAATGTAAGACCTTCCCTGAGAAATAACTAAAGCAAAAAAAGGGCTGCAGGCATCGCTCAAGTGATGAAGTGCCTGCCTAGCAAGCTTGAAACCCTGAGTTCAAACTCCTCCAGTATTGCCCCCACCAAAAACTACTTGGAAATAAACTTAACCAAGAAGACAAAATTTTTAATGCTAAAAACTACAAAATGTTGCTGAAAGAAATTAATGGAGATACAAGTAAATGGAAGGATCGTGTATACATGTACTGGAAGCCTTTATTATTTTTTTTTGTTTTTACTTTTTTGCAGTGACAGGCATAAAACCCAGGGCCTGTGCACGTTACTGAAGACTTAATATTCTTAACAAGGCAGTACTATCCAAACCAATCTACAGGTTTAAATGCAATCCCTATTGAAATCTCAACAGCACCCAGGGTTCAATCCCCAGCAGCCCCCAACCAAAAAAAATCAAGAATCTCAACAACGTTCTTTGCAGAAACACAAAAAACAATCCCAAAATTCATAGAAAATGTCCAGGCACCCAGGGCTGGAGGTAACTCAAGCGGTAGAATACCTGCCTGGTAAGCTCAAGGCTCTGAGTTCAACTCCCCATTCCACCACAACAACAACAAGATCCCAGCACTTGGGAGACTGAGGCAAGAGGATGGAGAGTTCCAGGCCAGCCTGAGCTACATAGTGAGGCCCTGTAGTAGAGCATTTGTACAAGCAAGTCCCTGGGTTTGATCTGGAGCACTGAAAAAGAAACCCCAAATCTCAAGGGATCCTAAATAGCTAAAACAATTTTGAAAAAGATTTCAGTTGAACTTACATTTCTTAATTTTGAAACTTACACAATCAAAACTGCGTGCTACTGGCATAAAGATAGTCATACAGATGAATGGAATAGAAAAGAGAGCCCCAGACACAAGCCCTTACATACACGGTGTTAAGGAACTGAATTGTGTCCCCTTCTCAAATTCATAGGCTGAAGTCCTAACCCCCAATACCTCAGAATTTGACAACTGGAAACAGGACCATTAAAGAGATGATTAAAACACACTGACAGTATAATTTCTGTTCTTATTAAAGGAGTTTAAGACACTGGCATACACAGAGAGGGAAGAGCTACTCACAAACCAAGCAGAGGCTGGTTGTGTGACTCAAGTGGTAGAATGCCTGCCTAATAAGCATGAAGTCCTGAGTTCAAACCCAGTACCACCAAAAAAAAAAAACAAGCAAAGAAGCCTCAGCAGAAACCAACCCTGTTGACACCGTGATCTTGGGTTTCTAGCCTTCAGTACTGTGAAAAAATTAATTTCTATTTTTGTTTGGCATTTCTACTAAATTAATACATATGGTCAAGTTGTTTTAACAAGGGTGCCAAGACCATTCAATGGGAGAAGGACAGTTTTTTCAACAAACAGTGCTAGGAAAACTGGGTATCCTCATACCAAAGAATAAAGGTAGACCCTTATCTTATACCACACAGAAAAATAAACTAAATATAGATTTAAAAAAAAAACCCTAAATGTGGGCTAGGGATGTAGCTCAATGATATAGTACTTGCTTAGCATGAGTAAGACCCTGGCTTCAATCCCTAGCACAGCAAAAGGGAAAAATTTAAAAAGTCTAAATGTAAGCGCTAAAACTATAAAACTCTTAGAAGAAGAGTGTTAACAAAGCACCAGTGGTTCACATCTGTAATCTTAGCTACTTTGGAGGCAGAGATCACGAGAATCAAGGTTCAAAGCCAGCCAGGGCAAATGGTTCAACAAGCGATCCTAGCTTGAAAATGCCCAACGCAAAAAAGGGCTGGTGGAGTGGCTCAAGTGGTAGAGTGCCTGTGTAGCAAGCATGAGGCTCTGAGTTCATACCCTAGTGCCACCACAAAAAAAAAAAAGAAACAAACAAAACAACAACTTCCTCCTACCTGTCTGAGCAATTCCAGCTTCTTCAGTTCCTCATTGTAGGCTTCTGGATTCTCTCCATAATTCTTCAGGACAAACTAGAGAAAGAACATAAACCAGTGAAAGATCAGACAGACAGACAGACACACACACCCTTTCCCCTGCTCTGCACAGGCTTTAGAGTCCAGACCCACAGCCTCAAGCCTATCTCCTGTACCACCAGAACTCTTCCTCAATGATGGGTAGCTCCAAGATGCTGAGTGTGGGAGCCTTCTCCTCCTTTGAGCACAAAGGAAAATAAGACTGGACATCCTGTGAGAACATCCTGCCAGGTCCTCTTCATACTATACCCCTCTCCACAAAGCCCAGAATTCTTCAGGCTCAGGAAACCAGGCTGAATTAGATGGCTAAGTGGGACCCTATAAGAATCCTAAAAAGGATCATGAGCTCAAGTCTCTCTTAAGGATTACATCCTGCTGTGTTCTGTGGTCCCACTCATAACCCTTAGCTGGTAACACATGCAGGCAAGAGGCACTAAACAAAAGTACAAGATCTTCTTCACCAACTTATCTTTTAAGCTGGGAAAGAACACCCTTGAAACAGGTGATCTGAGCTGAGTCAGACCCACTCACTCCACAAAGGACATTGACGACTAACAAGACTCCTGGGGGCCCTGGCCAAGGTCTGTTAGGTGGAGAGGGAAGGAAGGTAGGAATACTATCCAGTTGCGTACTCTCTCACACCTTGTCTGTAACCCATCCTTTTTTCCTGGAATCCCTTCCTAGGACCCAGAATCCAACGCTAAGGAATCAGCCACCTGGGAATCAGGGAGGCTGGTGACAGTTTCTGTCTGCTCTAGTAGACAGACAGAAAGGGAGAGGAAGGACAGACAGAAGGGAGGGTACTACTGAGTTAGTTACAGCACCATCCAGCTGCTTTTCCAATCTTTGGACCTTAATTCCCTCTTCTGTTGGTTTTACCCCCTGAAAGTTCCTGTGTCAGTGAGCTCTCTTCTACATCCTCCTGCCACCTCTGGCCTGGACAATCCACTCATTCAAATCCATCCCTACCCAGTGGGTGGACTGTTTTTCTTAGCTAGGTGTGGTGGCTCAAGCCTATAATCCTAGCTACTCAGGAGGATCTTGGTCTGAGGCTAACCTTAGGCAAACAGTGAGACCCTATCTCAAAAATAACCAATGAAAAAAGGGCTGTGGAATGGCTCAAGTGATACAGCACCTGCATAGCAAGCATGAAACCCTGAGTTCAACTCCCAGTACTGCCAAAAAAAGAAAAAAAAATTGTCTAACACCACTCTGATATCAGTCCTAACTTTCAATTCTTTAGGGAAACACATACCTTTATGGGAAAAAAATAAACCAAACCATGCTTCTCTCAGGATAGTAAAATTATAAGAAGTGAGGTGTAATCTAAAGAGAAAAAGTATAATCTAAAACGACTGTGCTATAGGAACCTCCCAAAGCCTCTAAGCTCAAATCTAATCTTGGCAGAGTTCATTCATGACCCTTTACAACCTGATCCCAACAGCCTTCAAGGATTGTCCTTTAGCATCTCCCAGGGACATTCACCCTACTTTATGTTGGAATTACTGTCCTCAGCAAGGCCTCATTTACAATGTTGTCCCCACCTCTGTCAGATTATGTGTCCACAACAGGATCAAGCCAGTGAGCCCCTTACACCAAACAATAAGCAGCAAGGTAGGAGCCTTTTTAAATGGTGTATACTCAGCATAATGGTTGCCTTCCAGGAAATACAGAGGATAGATGAACAAATTACACTACAAAGAGACACTCGGGCCAGGCACCAGTGGCTCATACCTGTAATCCTAGCTACTCAGGAGGCAGAGATCAAGAGGATGGAGGTTTGAAGCCAGCCTGAGCAAATAGTTGTGAGAACCAATCCCACCCCCCAAAAAAAAAGGGCTGGTTGAGTGGCTCAAGGCTCTGAGTTCAAGCCCCAGTACCACAAAAAAAAAAAAGAGAAAGATAACTGAAAAAATTGAGAAGATGGGGCCTTTTAACAACCAGTCTTTTCAAAAAGTTAATGTATTTTAAAAGGTGGAGATGGGCTGAGGATGCGGCTCAGTGACACAGTGCTTGTCCAGCATGTGCAAGGCACTGGGTTCAGTCTACAGCACCCCAAAAACTTTAAAATAAAAAGGGGGAAGAGGCAGGAGACTATTGTAAAAGTGATTAAAGAGATGGGATAACTAAGTGCAGTATGAGAACTGTGACTGGATCTGAGTTTGAAAAAATAAGGCATAAAAGATATTTTGGGGTAACAGGTGAAATTTGAATATAAATGGCAGTAGATAATTATTACAGATTTTCTTAGGTGTGATAATAATACTGTAGATATGCAGGAGAATGTGCTTATACTCTTAGGAAATACATGTGTCCAGAAGTGCAAGGATGTCTAAAACTTATTTTCAAAGGCTCGTGATGGGTTGAGGGTATGACTCATTGGATCAATCTATGGAGTGGGGGAAGGGAGGGAAAGGGAGGGGAAGAGAGAGAGAGATGCTGAAGTGCTATAGTACCTGAAAAATACTTTCTCTTGAGTCAGTGTTAGTCTCTGAGAACATAAACGCCATGAAACAATCCCCTCCCCCTAGAAATATTCAATTTGCACAAACTGTAAACATAAAAACTTACTGATAGTTTTAGGGGGCTCATAGACACTCTGAAGCCCATTTATTGGCTCCTGGTTAATGAGCCTCACGCTGATTTATCTAACTACTTCTCCCTGCCTTCCCCCAACAAAACAAAAACAAAACCCACAAACATAAAATGTGGTCTATGCTATAAGGTGAACTTGACTATCTAAGCGGGAGTGCATTCTTTGAGCAATTCCATTTTAGTAGGAGGTTTTTAATTTGCCCACCCTCAGGTTAGAGAAAATAAGTAAATGTGCAGCCTGGAGGCCTTGGGGGATACAGACCAGAGGAAATCAGTGAGACCTGAGAGAGTCCTGGAAACAGGGCTTCACGTGGCACTACTAAGAACATCTGTCCCTACTATTCACACAATAGTGAAGGGGAGAGATACTGTCTTCACTCCCAGCAAGTTGTCCCTGTAGGTTCACCTGTGACCTATGTCCCAATGCTCCTGCAAGATGAGCAGCAAGACACTCACTGAGCTCATAGTCACTCAGTCTTTACCACACCCCAAAGAGGCGGATATGGTTATCAGACAAGGAGATGAGGAAACTGAGGCAAAAAGGTTAGGGCACTTGCCAAGGTCACAGGAATAATAAGTGATGGGGCAATGACCGAAACCAAGGCATTTGGGCTCCAGAGGCCATGTTCCTAACCACATGTTACACCAATCTGCTTCTTTTTTTAAAAAATAAGGTTCTCATAAACAGTTCTGAAAAATGTGCAGTGAAAATTAATACCTTGCCACACATGGAGGATTTTTTTTTTTCTGGTGCTGGTGATCAAACCCAGAATATTTTTTTAAACCCTAACAAAACCCTACAACTGCTGATCCTCTCTCACTAAAAGGAGAGGAAAGAGGCTGGTTGAAGGTCTCTGTGGCCTGGAATTCTACAGAACTCAGAACAGTTTGGCCAGGAAATTGAGGCTCCCAATGGAGAAGGCAGGCCTGTCAACAGACCAAGAGTAAGAATGCAGAGACACCGACAAGACCCCAGCACACCTATACAACTAACACACAGGAAACCCCAAGCCAGCCAAGCTTTGGAGCGCTTGAAGATCCTTTCCCAAGAGAATAAGTAACAAGTCTATTTAAGTGAGAACATGTTGAAGAATTCAGCATCCACTGGGAGTGGAGTGGGGAGAGGAAGGTAGTATAGGTAAAAAAACCTCCTGTAGTAAGAGACTATTTCCATTTCCAGAGAACTACCAAGAGAAAGGCCTTTTCCAGAAAGCAATGCCAAGATAGTGTTATAAGTCCTAACTGTGCCCCTGAGTTGCTCTAAGATCTGGGGTTGGTTTTTTTGAGTATTAAATGAAGTTAATATCGCTTGCCGTGTCTAACTCATAGAGCTGGCATAAAGACTTGTGCTATTTCCTAATCAGGGAAAGAGGATGGTCAGGTGCAAAGATTGCTTACAGTATGTTAAGACCTGTACTAAAGACTCACAAGCATCAACTCTTGATTCTCACAAGCTTAGAAGGTTCCACATTACAGATGAGAAAATCGAGGCTCAGATTAGGGATGTGATCATTTGTAACAGATGAAGGTCATCCAGCTCTAAGGGACGAAGAGAAGGTCTGGTTCCAGTGGCTATGCATTTTCCATGCTGTACTCTCCTATGAGGAGCACTGCATGGGCCCAGGCATAAAAACAGCACAGAACTGGGTAGCTAATGATCACTGGAAACACATCCTGCCATTACTTTGCAGATTAGCAAAATGGGGATCAAGAGATGAAGAAGGGTAGTGCTGGGATCCCAAGACTCCTGACCTTGAGGTAGTCCCTCTGCTTCCTTCTCTTCTACTAGCATGTTCTCATTCTTATATTACACTTTGTTCTTCATTAGACATAAATCTTCCAACTTCATCATGCTAATTAAACAGGCCATGTATCTATATTTTTTTCTTTTTGAGACAGAGTCTCACTGTTGCCCAGGCTGGCCATGAACTCCTGGACACAAATGATCCCCCCAGCTCAGCCTTTCATGTAGCTGGGACTAAAGGCAGGTACCACTGAACAGCATCATACCCATGTATTACATTGGCCACCACATACATGAGGTTTCTTTTTTCTCCACTTTCAGAGTTGACTCAAATGTAGGGCATTCTTTGAACTGTGCTACAGAAATACACATAAAATTGAGTTGCACATATAATAGTCACTTAATATAATACATGCTCAGCTGCTGAATTTCAAGTAAGAGAAAAAAATGCTGCCAAGGGAAATCTTCAGACCCTTGTCCATGTCAGCAAGCCTGACAGGCCAAAAAGCACTGGCCTGAAAACAGACTTTCAATCTTCCCCTAGTCTAACCGCACATAATATTCTAGGCCTCATTTCCACCTCTATTCTGAATGGCGCCTTGGCCTGTCTGAACAGTACAGTGAGAAGACTCAAGTTACATGTCCCAGAGGGTG